GGCCCCAACGAGGATCCCGAACGGCCCACAGAGGCCCCCCCCGAGGCACCCAAGATGCCGAAAAGCCCCTCAGGACGACCCTCTACTCGCCTGGGCGTCGTTTCTGGACGGGCTGGTGGGGATACGCGAAGCGTCTAGAATTCAATTATCTGCGAAGGCGGATGCCCTGTCAGGGTGTTCGAACCAAATGCTGAAGGTCTCCGATGAGCGATGAGTCACGCCTTCCAGGAACATGTCCATTCAGGATGACACGAAACAAATCGGAAGAGATCACGTCACCTCAGGCAGCGGGTTTATTTCAAACCAGACATGGCGAGCACAACTTCCGAGATCCAAGCATCATGCCATCGCCATGCCATTATGCAAAGACTATTCGCGCACGTGGTGGGCACATCGTGTCGAGGGCGTGCTCTTGCTGGGTCAACACTTCGACTAGCTGGGCGGAGAGGTCCGCCAAGTGGTATGGAGGCGTGCTGGGCACGAAATTAGCCGATGCAACTGAAAACAAAGATTTCAAAGTAGGCATTGAACACGTTCGCCAAGATCAAAATACATAAGCAACGTAATCACAAAATCCGAGTACAACCCGAAACTGATCCAAATAAAATGACAGGTCGTTGTCGGTTCGGCAGACCTGCAAAAAAACATGGTGCGGATCATCCTTCCCGTGATGGAACAATGACGAACGCGTAGAGTGAGCATGATACGAATGGATGGCCTCACACGCGGGTCCTCCATCAGCAAGCCCAAATACCCAGATACGCCCTATGAGCCTGGCACACATCAGAGTGTGCCAATGGGCTGTTCAGCAGCCCGTCGCAGAGTGCCGAAACTGCGCTTGGCAGTGGAGCAGCCAAGCGTACCTGCGGCACGTGTAAACAAGACATCAGCCAGCAGCCCTCCAAACACGCCTGCCCCACATACGAAGCTAATGATATTCCGCAGGCAAGAGTGGCGCGGTTTTGCGAACTGGTGTGCTTATACCGACAGGCCATCCGAAGGGCACCAGCTGCGCCACCCCGTGGCGTTGACAGTGTTGTAAGCGCGCGTCACGTTCCTTCCCCTCCTCCTCCTCCTCCTCCTGCTCCTCCTCCTCCTCCTCCTCCGCCTCCTCCTCCTTACTTACCCTCCCCTCCTCCTGCTCCCCTCCTCCCTCCTCCTCCTCCTCCTCCTCCCTCCGCCTCCTCCGCCTCCTCCGCCTCCTCCTCCTCCTCCTGCTCCCCCTCCTCCGCCTCCTCCTGCTCCTCCTCCTCCGCATCCATGAGGGGAGCCCCCGCGGCGTGACGCAGGCATGCACCAGCGGGAGGGAAGAGGAGCAGGGATGGAGCGGGCTACCCGCTCTCTCTGGCCGCGCCCACGGCGGGCCCACGGCCCGGCCCGCGGCCCCAGCCTCCCCCTCCCCTCTCCTCCTCCTCCTCCTCCTCCTCCTCCTCCTCCTCCTCACCTCCTCCTCCTCCTCCTCCCCCTTTTGCCACCTCTCCTCCTCCTCCTCCTCCTCCTCCTCCTCCTCCTCATCATCCTTCCGCCTCCTCCTCCTCCTCCTCCTTCTCTCCTCCTTCTCCTCCTCCTCCTCCTCCGCCTCCTCCGCCTCCTCCTCCTCCTCCTCCTCCTCTTCCTCCTCCTCCTCCTCCTCCTGCGGGCGCCGGGAGCGGCGAGGCGGGAGGGGCAGGGGGCGGCAACAGCAGGAAGGACCACGGTGGGACGCCGCGGCGCTCCAGGGCCGGCAGCGTCGCCCGGAGAGGGGCCGGAGAGGTGCCGAGCCAGAGGGCAGCGTCTGCCGGGGCGGTGAGCAGTGGTTGCGCACGCGGCGCGGCAGAAGCGGAGGCGCGTCCTGCAGGAACCCCATACGCCAAGCGACGCTCACGCCGATGTGGACGAGCAGGAAGAGCCAGAACTCCAGGCGCTTGGCAACCTCGCTCGGGGGATTCTAGAGCAGTGGCCCCAAACAGCGTGTCGACGAATATTGTACAGAAGCTCCATCTCTCTATCATATGTGTGTTGTTATCTCTCTCTATATATATATATATATAAATATATATATCCTTCTACAAACACACACACAATCATAATCAAGTATTAACATGCCTGAGCACTTGTGTGCCAGCGCATGCACTATACATATACATCCAGCTTATATGTAGAAGATGTAGATCTGAATATATATATATATATATGTACATATCTACACATACATACATACATACATACATACATACATACATACATACATACATACATACATACATACATACATACATACATACATATACACACACATACATACATACATACATACATACATACATACATACATACATACATACATACATACATACATACATACATACATACATACATACATATATCTATATATATATATATATATGGTCGCACTCCCCTCCCCCTCCAAGATCCACCTTTCGGTGGGTTCTGAAATGAACGTTCAAGTTGCCTGTCAGTCCTCGCCTCTTCCCCGCCCCTTCCTCGCTGGCGCAACGCT